CCCCAAAACCCCAAAACCCCAAAACCCCAAAACCCCTTATTTTAGGAAAAAAGTTGATAACTTGAGTAAAAAATAAGTTAATTCAACAATATTTTTATCATGAAAAATATAAGAAGGCCCTCTCAAACTTTAAAAATGGCAATCGAAGAGCTTTGGGATGATAGTGACCTGACTGTTAGCGAAGAAACTTCTAATAACATGCCTCGTCAAACACTGAATAAGACCAGACAATTTGACAATACTATGAAAAATAATAAAGGGAAGATCAAGTCGGAGGACCTATCCGATTATGTACTAAAGAAAAAGAGCCTTCACCATCATTCATCCCTGCTGGATATACCAATACAATCATTCGGTGAAGAGGAGAAGAGAAATTGTGAACAAGAAGAAAAAGAAGAGAAGTTCTTAAAACCAGCATTTATCCGTGCAAACATTGAGGGAACTGCTTCTACTACAAAAGAAGGCGCTCAAATCCTATCAAACCTTCGTAGGATTTCTTCAAGTGAATTACTCAAGGTGATCCTTTAAATTCCCCAAAATCCAGCCTCTTCTCCCAAAACAAGATCTAATTCTAAATATCTTCTAACATATTTATTCCCAAATCTCTTTCACACCGACCACAATCCAGTAAAGTTTCCTTATCATATTCCTTTAACCCCATTAAAACTCCAAAAATTCAAATTCACCATTATAGACTTCTTATTATGAGTTTTAGGCTATTCAAAATATTTAAGGACTTCTTTTAGCTCCGATCACAGGAGAAAGTCAGTAAATTGGTTTAAACTTTATGCATGCTCATAGTATCTTATTCAAGGTGATATAAACCAATCTCTTGGAATAGTTTCTAATAATGTTCATGAAATGATGAAGGATTTTTATTATTAACTCAGATTGTTGGCGTGTAGGGTAGCTATGAATAACAAATTGGCCGCTTTTATGAAATTATAGGTGAAATGGGCAACGAACATTCAGATTACTATTATCTAAAATTTGGGTGAGAATTGGTTTGCACAGATTTAGGTGAATTGTGATGAACGTAAAGTTAGTTATTAACTTAGCAAAGGGAAGATTTATAAATTGGTGTGGTATCATTACTTCATCTAGCAAATTCCCTCCTGATATTTGTGGTGTCAGAGAGTTGAGGTAAAGCGTTTGAAGGAGCTAACGACTAACCTCACATCATTTATAGAATGCTAAAATAGAGTCATTTTTTAGAATCTCTATAGATTTAGAGTTATTGGAATCATAGCTTAAGAGATGGGGAGAAGAGAAGAAGACCTGGGAAGGCAAAGAGAGTTTTTTGTGAAAGGGATGGAGAGGAGGAGAAGGACTGGAGCTCACCTTTTGGGAAATTTGGTTATAATGAGTGAAGAAAGTAACTCGCTTTTGGAAATTTAGAGTAAGAAGAGAGAAAGAGGTGAGAAAGTTTATAAAGTTATAAAAAACTGAGATTTTTATGAATTTATAAAACCTATTCTGAAACATTATTATATTTGAAGAATTTCGCTAAAATTATAATCTTCACATTTCACCTTAGTTCAATATAATTATTTCATAAAGGGGTTTTGGGGTTTTGGGGTTTTGGGGTTTTGGGGTTTTGGGG